GTGGGGGTCTGGGCGGGGGGAGAGGAGGGGGTCTCGCCAGCAGCAGCGCCTGCTGCTGCTGCTGCTGCTGCTTGCTGCTGCTGGTGGGCTGCTGCTGCTGCTGCCAGGCTTCTGGCAATGCGTGGGTTCGCGCGGAAGAAGGCGACGAGGGCGTCTTGCTGCTGCTGCTGCTGCTGCAGGCGCTGCAGCTCTTCGGGAGGCAGCTGCTGCTGCGCCTGGGCCTCGAGGGCCATGAGGCGCAGCAGCAGCGAAAGAGTGAGGTAGAGGTACCTGGAGTCCTGCTGCTGCAGCAGCAGCTGCTGCAGCAGCAGCAAAAAGACCACGGAGCGGACTGCTGCGCTCAGGGCGAACCTGAAGAAGCCCTGTCTGTACACCTGAGGCAGCGGAGGCGACAGCGGAGCCGGAGGCAGCCACTGCTGCAGCAGCAACTTGTTTTGTTTTGCTGCAGCAGCAAACTCTTCTTCCAGCTGCTCATACTCTGCCCACGAAAAAAAGCTGCAGTGCGGGTCATAGTGCTGCCACTGCTGCGGCAGCAGCACGAACTGCCCCGGGGCCATGTCTTTTGCTGCTCTGTAGCTGCTTATCTGCACCCACACACGCGCAGCAACACAAACTCCTGCTGCTGCTGCTGCTGCTGCTGCTGCTGCTGCTGCTAGTGCTGCTGCTAGTGCTGGGATGCCCGTGAACGCAGCCCGGGTCGTGCTGCTGCTGCTGCTCCTGCTGCTGCTGCTGCTGCTGCTGCTCTCAGTGCTTTGCTACAATAACTGCTGCAGCTGCTGCTGCTGCTCTGTGCTACAGCAACTGCTGCTGCTGCTGCTCCCTGCTACAAGAACTGCTGCTCCCTGCTACAAAAACTACTGCTACTGCCGCTGCTGCCTACTACACCGCCGCGAGCTACGCCTGCTGCTGCTGCTGCTGCTGCTGCTGCTGCTGCTGCTGCTGACCTCAGCTAGGACCTCGTCAACGAGCTGCGTCTGCTGCTGCTGCTGCCTGTAAGGCCAGCAAATAATGTCCTGCAGCGCGCTGTGGGGCTGGGGGCCCCTCATGAGTTGGTGCCGCAGCAAATGGCGCAGCATTTCTCCTTCGGGCTGGAAGAGGGAATTCCGCGGCTGCAGCAGCTGCAGCAGCAGCAGCAGGAAGCCCTGCAGGTGCTGCTGGATGTACTCCGACACCTCCGTTGGGGACTCACCCAACACGCAGCTCCCGGAGTTGCTGCTGCTGCTGCTGCTGCTGCTGCTGCTGCTGCTGTTGTAGGTGAAAGTGTCCGTCGGCGGCTCCGCGCTGCTGCTGGTGCGACCCGCAGCAAATACTACTGACAAGTCCAGCGGCAATTCTGCCCTGAAGCAGCAGCAGCAGCAGCAGCAGCAGCAGCAGCAGCTCCACATGCAGCGGCAGCAGCACAAGTCCCCGAAGCGGCCCGCCAGCATACAAGGCGCTGCAACACCACGAGCGGCAGCAGCAGCAGCAGCAACAGAAATGCAGCAGCAGCAGCAGCAAACCCACAGCAGCGCAGCGCAAAAGTAGAGCAGCAGCATAGCAGCAACAGCAGCAGCAGCAACAGTAGCAGCAGGAGAGCAGCAGCCGAAGCAGCAGCACATCAGCAGCAGGAGCGCAGTCGCAGTTCAGCAGCACAGCAGCCGCAGCAGAAAAGCAGCAGCAGCAGATGAGCAGCAACGCAGCAGCAGCAGCAGCAGCAGCGCAGCAGCAGCAGCGCAGCAGCAGCAGCAGCAGCGCAGCAGCAGCAGCAGCAGCAGCAGCGTGCCTGAGTATGAGCAGCAGCACTGTGACTTCGGGAGGCAGCGCGCAGAGCAGCAGCCGCAAAGCCCTCATGTCCACATCGAAAGTGGCGGACTGGTAAAAGGCCCGCCGGTAGCAAAGACACTCCTGCAGCAAAGTGGTCCTGCAGCAGCAGCAGCAGCAGCAGCAGCAGCAGCAGCAGCAGCGGCAGCAGCGGCGCAGCGGGGGGTGAGCCGCAGCAGGCAGCAGCGAATAAAAGCCGTGCGCAGCTCGCACGAAAGCTGCAAACAAGTATATTTATTTATTTATTTATTTACTTATTTATTTTATTTAATTTAATTTAATTTAATTAATTTAATTAAATAATTAAATAATTAAATAATTAATTCACCCGTTTCGCCGCCAAGTGCCGTTGGCCGTCTGGTGGTACAAAATGAGGGCCCGCAGGGGCCTCGAAACAATGTGCAGCAAATCTGTGGGGCGCAGCCCCAGCTGCTCATAGAGTGCGAGCTGCAGGGGGTCTGTGTTTTGCTGCTGCTGCTGCTGCTGCTGCAGCAGCTGCTGCAGCTGCTGCTGCTGCTGCGCCAGCAGCCGCCGCTGCTCCTCCCTGTGCTGCTCCTCCAAGAAGCGCAGGCGCTCGGGGTCCCGCCGCGCCTGCTGCCGCTGCTGCTGCTGTCGCTGCTGCTGCTGCTGCCGCTGCTGCCGGTGCACCTGCTGCAGCAGCTGCTGCTGCAGCAGCAGCTGCCGACGGTAAGCCTCCCCCCTCTCTGGGTGAGATATCAGTGCAGTCAGCAGCAAAATATAAAACCGGTGCAGCGGCAAATAAAGAGACACAGAATGCATGCTGCAGAAAAAGTCGCGCGGGCGGCCCCCAGGCAAACCTGCAGCAGCAGCAGCAGCAGCAGCAGCAGCAGTACCAGTACCAGCAGCATCAGCAGCAGCAGCAGCAGCATCATCAGCAGGAGCATCAGCAGCATCAGCAGCAGCATTACCAGCAACAGCACTTGCAGCAGCAGCATCAGCAGCAGCATCAGCAGCAGCAGCATTGCCAGCAACAGCACTTGCAGCAGCAGCAGCAGCAGCAGCAGCAGCTCACGGAATTCGCGGAGCGGGGCTGTGGGGCAGTTGTGTCTTTGCTGCAGCTGGTCGAGGACGGCGTGGAGGCCGTGGGGTGTACGTACAGCTGAGAGGACGTGGAAAGTTGCTGCTTCCTTTTGCTGCTGCTTGGCAATCCAAATGCGGAGTCTTCTGTCGGTTTGCCGCAGCATGCAGCAGCTAACTCGGTAGGGAGCAGCAGCAGCAAAGTCCGCAAGTGCTGCTGCAGTCTGCGACAGCTCGATGCACAAACATACTGCTGCAGTCCATCCTGCTTCGTCTTCAAACTCTATGTGCTGCTGCTGCTGCCGCTGCTGCGCATGCATGCCTTCCGCCAGCAGGTACTGCGGCAGGAAGCCTTCCGCCAGCAGCTCCGCCACGTGCCGCGGCCGCGCGCACACATCTGCAGCAGCAGCAGCAGCAGCAGCAGCAGCAGCAGCAGCAGCAGCAGCAGCAGCGGCGGCGGCGGGGTTGCTTCGATGCAAACTGCGCAGAGCGCCGGCCTGTTGCTGGTTGCACTCATCCTTGAAGCCCCTGAAGTCTACCTAAAACCCCCTTAGAGCAGCAGCAACCCCGCAGCAGCAGCAAACCCGCAGCAGCAGCAGCAGCAGCAGCAGCAGCAGCAGCGACCCCGCAGCAGCACCAGCAGCAGCAGCAGCAGCAGCAGCAGCGACCCCGCAGCAGCAGCAGCAGCAGCCACCCCGCCACGGCAGCCACCCGCCGCAGCAGCCACCCGCCGCAGCAGCCACCCCGCAGCAGCAGCAGCAGCAGCAGCAGCAGCAGCAGCAGCAGCAGGAGGAGACGGACAGTTGAAGAGGAGTTCTTTTTCCGCAAGCAGGTAGCGAGCGTCTCCCATGAAGTTGATATAATTCTTTTGCTTCAAAAGAGGATGTTTGACGTCAACAGCAAAGGGGGGGAGGCCCTGGAAGGCCACGGCTTGCTGCAGCAGCAGCCTGCATGCGAAGAGCTGCGGCAGCAGCAGCTGCTGCTGCAGCAGCCGCTGCAGCAGCGCGCGAATGCTCAGCAGCTGCACAGTCACTCGCTCCAACGCAGAGTCCCCCACTGACACCAACTGCTCGTATTGCTGCATAAACAAAACAGCAAAACTTTCTTTAAACCATTCATCAAACATCAGAGCTAGCCACAGAGTTGTGAGGGCCCCGTGGGCCTCCTTGGGGGCCCCCTGGGCCCCCCGCAGCAGCAGCGCGCACGCGCACACGCCCGGCGCTGCTGCTGCTGCTGCTGCTGCTGCTGCTGCTGCTGCTGGGGGCGGGCGGGGGCGGGGAGGCGGCGCGCGCGCTGCTGCTGCTGCTGCTGCTGCTGCTGCTGCTGAGGGGGAGGGGGGGAAGGGCGGGAAGCGGAGGGCGGGCTCGCCCGCTGCTGCTGCTGCTGCTGCTGCTGCGGCGCCCGCTGCTGCTGCTGCGCGGCGCGCAGCAGACGGCTGCTGCAGCAGCCCCTCGTCCGTCAGCAGCACCGGCGCGATCTCGTGGAAGCCCTGCTGCTGCTGCACGAAGCTGCTGCTGCAGCAAAACTTGTTCTTCACTTCCAAAGGAGTGTCAGGGTTTTGCAGTCCCAGCAAATACCCAAAGGCAATCATTTGGCCTTCTTCTTCTCCCTCCCAGTCCTGCGGGTCTTCGAAGCTCCCCGGTGCTGCTGCTGCTGCTGCTGCTGCTGCTGCTGCTCCTGCTGCTGCTGCTGCTGCTGCCGTCGACCCTGCTGCGCCGCCATCCGCCGCAGCAGCTGCTGCTGCGCCCGCTGCGGCTGCCGCCGCGCCATCCCCTCCCTCGCCGCCGCCGTCGCCGCTGCTGCTGCCGCCGCCGCTGCTGCTGCTGCTGCTGCTGCTGCTGCTGCTGCTGCTGCTGCTGCTGCTGGGGCTGTAGTGCTGCAGACGCACGGACTCCGGCAGCGGGGCCACAGAGCTGGTCAGCCCTTTTGCTGTTAAGTCCCACAGCCCTTCGTAAAGGGCGTAGCAGGGGCTGTGGGCCAGCCGTGTCTCCAGGGGCAGTGTGGGGTCGCTGAAGGGGTCCACAAATGCTGCTGCTGCTGCTGCTGCTGCTGCTGCTGCTGCTGCTGCTGCGGGGGGGTGGGCTGCTGCTGCGGAGGCGGCTGCTGCTGCGCTGGTTGCGGGCGGCGCCGCGTCCGCGGGCGCCGCCGCGGACCCAGCGGGCGCAGCAGCAGCAGCAGCAGCAGCAGCAGCAGCGGGGGGCGCAGCAGCAGCAGCAGGAGGCAGGGGGTTGCCAATGACATCTTCGAGAAAAGCTCTTCCAAGACATCTTCTTGCTGCTTCACTGGGAGTGAACTTGGCCTTGAGTTCAGCAGCAAGAAGCTTGGCGAGGGTCCAGTGGCGGCTGTGGACGCAGCACAGCAGCCGGCGCGCTGCAGCGCGCAGCAGCAGCAGCAGCTGCTGCTGCCGCCCCACAGGCAGCAGCAGCAAAGGGTCCCCCCCCGCGGGGGGCCCCCTGTGCTGCGCACAAAAGCCACTGGGGGCCCACGCGCTGCTGTCGCCGCAGTCGCAGCAGCCGCCGCATGCAGACCTGTAGATGAAGTAGCTGTGGCCTTCGTGCTGCCCCGCCTGCAGCAGCAGCAGCAGCAGCAGCAGCAGCAGCAGCAGCAGCAGCAGCAGCAGCGGCAGCTTCGCGCTTTCAAGGCGCAGCTTCTCCCCATTCTCCGGACTTCCTCGCCCGGGGTTGGGGCCGAAAGCTGCGACTCAGGGCCCCGGGCTCGAACTCAGGGTTTAGGGTTTAGGGTTTAGGGTTTAGGGTTTAGGGTTTAGGGTTTACCTGGAAGCAGGCGACGCAGATGCAGCTGCTCTGGCTGCCGCCGCAAGTCAAACACCTGTAGGCCACGTGCTCGCCGTCCCAAACTTGAGCACATCTGTTTTGTTTATTATTTTTGAAAAAATAAACTGAGACAAAAGTTGCTGCTGCTGCTGCAGTGGGGGCCCCCGCAACAGTCAGCAGCAGCAGCTGCAGCGCAGCAGCAGCAGGCAGCGCCTGCAGCACTTCGCAGTACAGAGTCAGCAGCAGGTGCGGCTCCTCCAGGTGTACGTACACCACGTGGCTGCACAGCACCACTGTCTCTTCTGCTGCTGCGCCCCGCAGCAGCAGCAGCAGCCGCCGCTGCAGCAGCAGGGGCCCCCGGGGGCCCCCGAACTCCTTCTCCGCTTCTGCTGCTGTCGGCAGCAGCAGCTGCTGCCCCGCGAACTCGCAGCAGCGGCCCCCCGACGAGCCCCCCTCCTCCTGCTGCTGCTGCTCCTCCTGCTGCTCCTGCTGCTGCTCCTGCTGCTGCTGCTGCTGCTGCTGCTGCTGCTGCAGGTGAGCAGCACAGGCCTCCAGCACAAACAGCAACTGCGCTTTCGCCAGCAGCATCTTTTTTGCTGCTAAAGAACCCGCAGGGGGCCCCGCAGACAGCTGCTGCGGCGAACCTCCAGCCTCATGCCCTGCAGCAGCAGCAGCAGCAGCAGCAGCAGCAGCAGCAGCAGCAGCAGCAGCAGCAGCAGCA